CGATCATGCTGGTTCGCGAACTCATTCAAGTTTATCACGCCTTACACCTTTAAACCAAATTTTATCAAAATCGGACAAAAATTACTCAAGTTATCGTGCGGATGGACACACACATATATATATATATATATATATATATATATAAAAATTTTGAACGAATTGTGTTTTTGGCCTCTGGGGACATCAAAATGAAAAAGTAAATCGGTCCCGGGCTTAGGTCTTACCATGAGACCTACGGTAATAGCTACTTCCCTATAGGGAAATTCGCTAAAAACTAGAAGGTATTTTTGTTTATGTCAAAAATCCACTTAAAATATACCAAGGACTAATTATATTACAAATAGGCAGTGGATCGCTTCATTTTTTCATCGATCCTTCCCGAACACGGTACTTAAGATAGTTTTAAATTAGTTTAACACACCAAGTGTTAATTGGGGCATCATTCATTGTTAAAATCCTACTTATACCTTTGACTATTCCAATAGTTAATGCTTATACTTTAACACTCTAGGGAAACTATGTTTACTTTTTTTTATATAGCTTGGTACATATTTATACCTAATTCATTAAAAGTATAAAAACCACTAGATTGCAAATCGGATTTGGTCTTATTGGTCATATTTGGTATCAAAACTTGAATAGTCGAATATTTCGAGGTTATGAACTTCAAAAACAAACTAAAAAAGTGAAAATTTGGAATTTTTTAATGAACTTTTTTTGTAGGGGCAAAAAGAATTACAGTTTTCTCTGGACACACACACTTTATGGAAAAAGCTTACATAACATGGATGTTAAAAGTGGGAAAATTTAGATTGTGAACATAGGAGAAGCCATCTAATGTTATTCTTCCACAACCACCGAGTTAGCCACGAGGTTTGGTACACAAAATGGTCGTAACACTGTTAACGACAAGGGTTATACGGTCTCTCCTTAATGATAATACTCAATTGCATTAGCTAGGGTTGGGGAATTATCACGTTGTTAGGTTGGTATTTGGAACAAGCAATTCTTCAATCCTTCTTTTTTGTTTGTCAGTGAAAAGTGCTGTGTTCACAAGTCGTTATGGAATATCACAAATATTTTCTGAATATATTTGCCCAACAACGTGGATGTTGTACGTATCAATAATTCCGAAAGCCTTTGATTATCCTGAAGGAATTGTTCGCTTGCAATAATTGTCCAGTTTACAGCTTAAGGGTTATTAATGTGTCTTAAATTACTAAAGTGTTCGTTCAAGTTGGTACATTAATAGTTTTTATGATTTTTTGCCTTTCCAACAAAAGCTATAACCATTAAGTAGCAGGTGATGTCTTCAATAGCGGCAAGTCTGTAGTCAAATGTCATTAGGAAAATTCATCCGTGTTTGAATAAAACAATTTCGCAATTAACCTCTTTCTACTTGGCACAGTTCAACGATTCTAAGATGACTAAATAGGCAATTTGCCCCTTATCTGCTATTTGAGTGTGAAAACTAGTTAAAACTATACAGATATTTCAATAAGTAAACTTTTTTTATTAAAAGTAAACTGAAGTTCTCAAAGTCAATTCTAAACTTCCTTGTTGTAAGATAAACTAACTTGGATGCAACTTCAATGAAATAAATGTCTTTGGTATATTCAGTTTTCCTTATTAAAGCAGTTTTATGCGCAAGGCCCACCTTATTACTTGCAACAAATGTATTTTTTTCATAAAACTAAGAAATTGTTAAGTTCACTGTTATATTAATTATAAGGGCTGGTATTAGAAATAGGTTGCGCGATTTAATGAACAATAAATACCCCCTCCACAGCGAACCTGCGGACTGAGAGAAAATTAATTTGTCTGATTGGTTTTTAATCCAAATATTTTAATAGACGTGTCATATTTCTTCCACATTTAAACAACGTGAATTTTAACGAGCACCTAAGTTTGTTGCTGTTGTAAGTGTTTGTTTTTGTTGTTAAGTTGTTGGTTAGGAAAGTTCAGTTTTTTTACAAATTAAGAATATTACAGGATGAAATACATTTGCTAAATTTGTTTAACATATAGAAGCAAACTACAGCAGTTTTTCTTTTCTCTATAAGAATAACATGGACATTTTACAAATTTTCATGCCCTATCACACCCTATTTCCATGACCCGATCTTCCTGGTTCGCGAACTTATTCAAGTTTGTCCTGTTCTACGCATTCATGACAAATTTCTTTAAAATCGGGCCAAAATTACTCGAGCTATCGTGTTTACAGATATATTTAAATCTATAAAAATGTATCTAAAAATATATAATAATTTGAACTAATAGTATTTTGGCCTATCAAAAGGAAAAGTAATTCGGTCTGTAGTCTAGGCTATTCCGTGCCGCCTACGGTACTGTAATTCTCTTCCCTATAGGGAAATTTGCTGATAAAAAAAGGTAACGTACTTTTATATAAAAAAGCTAAGCCTTTTCTTGACACGTCACTTTATTTATCTTGCAGAAAATCCAATTATACTGTTAAAGTCAAAATACTAAAAAAATTTAAATTAAAGCAATTAATTTTGCACTGTGTTATTTTTAATAGGTCTAATACAAAAATTATATATGATAAATAGATTAGAACCATTTAACAATCGCAGTAAAAAATATTACCTGTTATAAATAAAGATTCTCTGGAGTTTGATACTGTATTGACATTTTACTAATTAGCGATCGTGGCATTTGTTGTCTCTTCTAATTAAAACACCGACTTGTAAAAGTCAAACTCCTGTTAAATCAAACCCAACAAGTTTCCTTTTGTTTTACAGGGTTGCTTTACAGCCACTTCAGAGTAAATAACAATACCTATTGTAATCTGTTAGTGGTAAAAGGAAATATTTTGTTACAAATTTAATATTTGAATTTTATATGTAATGCATAATATAATAAATTTACAAAGCCTAAAAGTAAATATAAATTTACTGTACATTATCATTTTAGTTATAGTCAGTCGTGGTATATGAAATACTCCTGTATTTGAATAAAAGTAAATCGTAAATTTTATTGCTGGACAATCCATTCTTCATAATTTCAAATTTAAAAAATCAAACAAATAATTTTCACAAGCGTTAAGACATTAAAATGTTTGAATGGAACATATGTTTTTATCAGTTACGTGCCAAAACAGGTTGTATCAACTCTCAATATTTAATGTAATCATTTTTTTCCACACTAATACCACTAAGTACAAGTTTTATGAATTACTTAGTATATCGAAATGTAAATATAATCAGAATTTTTATTGTAAGATATAATTAAAGTATTTATGCGTAGGCTTTCAAAATGTCTTACAAACAGACAGCTTAGCATTTTTAATGTAGTTGTATATTACCACTTGATAAAGAATTACTCACCGAACTTTAGGACTACTTTCTTACCCTAGAATGGAAACTATTGAGACAACACGGAGACCCAGTTGTCGTAACTTTGTCGTTAACATTGTTACAATAAGGGTTATCCGGTCTCATCTAACCCTAATTGTACTCTATTCACTCCATTACATTGGGATGACAGAATTCCCACCTACTTAGGTGAACAAAAAGGTTAATTATCATGTTGGTTTTAGGGTTTTAGTAACAGATAACGGAGAATAATTTTGTATAACCTGATTGATAACCTCTTTTTAAGAAACATAACCAACTTGAAAAAACATTATTTTACTCTTAGGTGAATAATATGACTTAACATTTTTAAACGTGTTTTAGACACGTATAAAATATAGTTGCAAAATTGATTTGAACAAAAGTTAACAATTATAAGGTGTTAATACAGGGTGTCCCGTAACTCTGTGGACATATGTATATAGCGTTATTGCCTAGGTCAAGAACAACGTAAAAGGGGTATTAGCATTGTTTAAATGGAGAAAATTGGTCATGCATTTTTAAAAGTAGAAAATTTCTCTGTTATTATTTATCCATTCTTAAAAATAAGGTATCACTGAAAACAACATAAAATGTATTAACTTTTTTGTCTCTTGCCATTTGTTCGTTAAGTTAACGGTTTTCGTGGAATTTGGCATCAAATATTTTAAATGGCTGCTTTTTTAAAACGGTAAATTATTTTTTAGTAGAATTTTAAACAAAGATAGGTCTTAACAAGATAAACATTTATGCAAAATATCAACGCTGTATCTCAAACAGTTTAGGAGTTATTAATGGTTTTGTAAAAAAACACATAAATACAGACAGACGGAAAATTAGGCACCACAAACCCATGTTCCTATGGTGAAATGTGTTTGTCTTGACCTAAGGAATAACGCTATATACATATGTCCATAGAGTTACGGGACACCCTGTATAGTAACTAGTATATCTACAGCATTATTTTCAATTATAATAACGTGGTTGTTCATTAGTACACGACAGGAATTACTTTTTAGTTAGGTGAGTATTTCTATTTGAATCCATTACTCCGAAGTTAGCTTAGAGTATGGAAGAATTCGAATTAAATATCTTACAAAAAGTTGTAAAAATTGAAATATTTGTAGGTTATCACCTTGCGAAAAGAGTCCAAGTATTTCAGAATTTAAACCTTTGCACTATGTCGCATGAAAAGAAAACTGTCAAAAGAACAGAATTATTTATTGTGTATCTAAAACTTAGAGACGCTCTTGTTCCACTGAAGCATAACTGCTGTGGGGAATTACATTGGTTAAATAATGTGACCGACATTTCGAAAGAAGTTGTAAAATCTCTGCTGGAATTTGTAATGAAACTCTTCCACTTTATTTCTGATGGTAATTTAAACTTCCCTACTTCTCTAAGTAAGATTGCATTGCAGCGAAAATAATTCGTCATGTTCTACCTACACTTTATTTCTGCAACTCTATTACAACATTAAACACTGAATATTTTATAGTGTGATTTCAAATGATTCAAATGATTCAAATGATTCAAATGATTTATTTGGCCATTCAGTTCATATACAGGACAATAGGCTACGTCAATACAATAAATAATAAATAACATGCCAAGCTTCTTCTAGCATTCTTGACTGACAAAATTAAATTAAAAGCTGAAAAAAAACACATGCAGGATCTCAAAAACATGCAAAGCAGTGCATGCAACTAAAAATACAAATAAAATGAAAACCACATGCTGCAAGCCATGCAAGGCAGAGAAAAATAAATAAATTTACATTTTTGTAATACCTCTACTGGACTACTGTGGGTTCAACCCAATAGTAACAAGCTGTGCATTCCAAAACTCTTTAATGGAATAGAATGGATTGGCAAGCATCCAAGCTTTTAGTGTGGTCGCAAACTTGTTCGGTAAGAGTTGTCTTACAGTTATGGGTAAGGCATTGTAGAACCTTATTCCTGCAACAGGAAAGCAGTTGAGAGTTAAATCTAGTCTAACTCTATCTCTAAAAATATTTTCATTGTTCCTAGTGCTATAATGATGAACATTATTAACCAATGGAAAAGCTGATTCATTGTTCTTAATCTCTAACAGGCATTGGTAAATAAATACATTGTGTACAGGCATTATACCATGCTGAACAAACAGAGGTTTACAATGCTCAAGCTGATGGACTCCACACAAGACCCTGACAGCTTTCTTCTGTAGTTTGAGTACTTTTTGCACTCCAGGGGAGTGACCCCAGAGCCTAGTGCCATACAGAATGTGAGCATGGAAAAAAGCAAAGTACGCAAGTCGAACAAATTCAAATGGCATGTCAGCCTTCAACCGTCTGAGCAAATGGATTACACGACTTAGCTTACCACACAGGATTTCAATATGATCGTTCCAATCAAGCTGAGGGTCAAGGGTGAAGCCCAGCAGCTTTACAGTGTTTTCTTCCCTCAGTTCCCTAGAAAGACTGAAAGTGATGTTTTGAGTTTTGGCTTGGTTCAGGCATAATTTATTGTTGCGAAACCAGATAGAAGCTACATCTAATAATTCCTGCACAGCAACTTTAGATACAGAAAAATCTGAGTGACTAGAAAAGAGAGTTGTATCATCTGCATATAGCAGGACATTGCCTGCAACACTGTGATACAAGTCATTGATTGAGATTACAAAAAGGAAGGGACCCATAATAGACCCTTGCGGGACTCCATTGTTCACCATCAGAGGATTGGAAGAGTTACCATTCCAAGTCACAACTTGAGACCTCCCTTCAAGATAAGATTTAATCAATGAGAGAGCATCGCCTCGTACCCCGTACCTTTCGAGCTTTGACAACAGGAGACTATGTGACACACAGTCAAAAGCGCGGGATAGGTCACACATTACAACAGAAGTAGAATTTCTAATCTCTAGACCATTTAAGATTTCTTGAACAAGACAGTCCACATCCTGAACGGTGGACTTTCCTTTTTGGAAGCCAAATTGAGCGGGCACAATAAGGCGATGGATGCCTCTCAAAGTAGCTGTACAGCTGCTCTAACATGACTGCTTCAAGCACCTTACCAAAGATGGGGATGATAGATATTGGTCTGTAACTTACAGTACTGTCCTTTGGTCCCTTTTTGTACACAGGTACAGTCCTACTAATCTTCAGAGCCTCAGGAAAGACTCCTTCTCTCAGAGATTTATTTACAATATCTACAATGATTGGCGCAACTACATAGATACATCTTTTTAAAAGCTCAACAGACATGTTATAAAAATCTTGACTCTTAGAGGATTTAAAGCTACTGACTACTCTAAGCAGCTTATCAACAGTAACAGGTGTCCATGAAAAATTAGTGGGAACAAATGGAACAGAATTAAGGCAATCATAAGGAACAGATGGATCAGGTTTACAAGAGAGGATTAATTCATCAACAGACTCAAGAAAATATGAATTAAACTCATCAGCAGTGCAAAAGTCTTTAGCAGGAACAGTAGTGGGGGTTTTATGCCTATTGATGTAGTTCCAGGCAGCCTTGCAAGCATTTGGAGATGTAGCAATGGCAGTAGCAGTAGCAAATTGCTTCGCCTCCCTTACCTTCAAACGATAATGCTTCCTGAGATCACGAAGGTAGGGCAGCAATTGTGGGTTACTCTTGCATAAGTCACTGATACCTAGGATAAAGTTCTTAAAGGCAGAGAGTTCAGGTGTGTACCAGTTGTTTACACTGCACCCAGCATTTGCCTTGGCTGGAGGCACAGTCCTGCAGGTTTTATTTCTTAAGGGAAAACAATAGTCAAAAACTTTTCTGAAATTATCAAAGAAATAGTCAAAGGATTGTTCAGCATTAAATGGTTCTATTTCAGAGAGCCACTTTACTGCCAGATCAGTCAATACACATTGAAAGTAACAGTAGTTACTTTCATTAAATTGTCTGTAAGTTACAGTTTTGACAGGATTATTTAAGTAGTCAGGTTCCTGCAGACCATGTTTGGATACACCTTCAGGTAGATCTAGTTTAAAAAAAACATGTTTGTGATCAGATATCTGATCTACACTTACATGGGCCATGTATCTCCAGCTATCAAGATTGGTAAGAACAGTGTCTAAAGGAGATAGACCACGGGTTGGTTCATTGACACTGAAGAATATATCATGGCTGCGGAGAATGTTCCTGAAATCACTGGCCTCACTTGGATGGTTGAGTATATTCACATTGTGGTCAGTGCCGATTATAATATCTAACCCCAGGGAAGTTAAATAAACTAGACACATGTCAAGTAGATAAAAAAAGCGTTCAAAACTACCACTAGGCGAGTGATACATGGTGACAACAATGAGATTCAAGTTAGAGATGACTATACCTGTAAATTCTGCATGCAGTTCTTCACAGTACTCACTTAAGTCTAACAAAGAGTAGTTCCATTTAGTATTAATATAAATTGACACACCCCCCCAAGAGGTTTTTCGACAGAAACAAGATACAAGGTCAAGGCTATTGATTCTAGAGTAGTATGCAGTTTCTGCCTCTAACAACCAATGTTCAGACACACAAAGCACATCAATGTCCAGTTGACAGCAAAGTATCTCAAGTTCAGCAATTTTATTGCGTATAGATTGCACATTTATAGCACACACAAGCAGGCTACTAGCAGATTTTCCCGTACTAGGCAAGATTTCAGGCCCATAACCTAGGATTGAGTTTGACGGGGCTGCATTTTCCCTAAAAAAGTACGAGAAGGAATGTAGCTTTTAACGTTATTTTGTCTGCCTGAACGACGTTCTTCAAACTCTTTTACAAAAATTCCCTCGGGCCAAAATTCAGGTTTCAATAAGTCCTTAACAAGATTATCAGAGACGCTTACCTTGAAACTTGTATAGTCTGAAAACCTGGTAGGTAGTTTCTCACATTTGTTACAAATAACATTTTCACTTTTTAGATAGGATTCAATGTCACTACTTTCCGTATCTGAAGAACAACGACTAACAAAAACTGCCTTGGATTTTTCCGCACGCTTGAGACCACTTTTGTCAGTATTTGAACCTATAATGGGTTTAGTCTTAGTTTTAGGAAACCTAACCTCTTCTTGAGACGTCTTGGAAGTTGTAGGTCTAATTTTGTTTCTAGGCCTACTGTCAGTATTGCTAGCTAGTACTTGGGAGTAGCTTTTATTCCTATTTTCAGTGTTTCCGGCCTCCTGTCCATTCACTTTGTCATCAGATTCGGAATTTGGTAGACTTGACTCTTGACTAGGCCTAGGTAGGCCTATAAGCTGAGAATGGGTTTCTGCAGAGGACCGCTTCTTGGTTTGTACAACATCTTCAAGTTTGTTGTTTAGTTCAAGGTTATTTTCAACAACTCCTTTAACGAGAGATATTAAGTTCTGGACAGTAGAATTTAGGTTAATAAATTCTTCAATATTACCAACTCTCGTCTGCAGACTTTTAAGGTTAACATCACAGGAGTCACAGAACCACTTGGATTTGTCCCCTAATTTGTTTACTAAGTCATATTCAACTGAAGAAATATTTACACAAGCAATGTGGTACCATTTGGAGCAAAAACCATCACAGAAAATCGCATTACAATTATTTTTAACTAATTTAAAACAAGAGCCACAATTAGGATCAACGTGACCATCCGCCATGACACTCCAAAAAAAAAAAAAAAAAAAAAAAAAAAAAAAAAAAAAAAATTAAAGATTTAAAACTTTTAATGGAAAATATTGGATTTCATACAAAACAAATTCGTTAAATTGGTCGTTTGACTTTTCAGAAACATTTCATTGATAATTTTATAAAAAAGATAATGTATTCTACAGTTTTAATATTATTTCGTGCGAGGCACCAGTGAAGTTTTTAGAGTTGCAGTTATTTAAGTAGTTACTTGTCTGTGCGGGCCGGGATCAAATCCAGATAGTCATCAATTGGATGAATACTACAACTGTATTAAACATTTACCGTTCATTTTAATCATGAAAATTCACAAGCCTTATAAAATATACCCTCTAAGAAACGTATTTTACTTATTCTGTCTTAATTTTGGGCGTTAAGTTGATTTTATAGTGCTAATCGATACTATACTAACATCAATTATTTTATTGGTTTAGAACCTCAACATGTGATTTAAATTCCCTTGATTCCAAATATACCTAATTAATCCTTTGCAGGTTACAGTTAGGTAGGTACATTAATTTAAAATACACTTTACTTTTGTATTATTTGTACACATAACTGACTATACACAGAGTAGATTTCCCATCCTATGTAAATATTTGAAACTGAAAAACGTGGTGCAATCTGTTCAGATGGTCTACCAACTAATGCCAATATTCTGTCTCAAGTGATAAATCAATCAGCTGTTTGCTATGATACTGTTTGATTTTAATCAATGATTAACCCAAAACACTATAGTACCGTCTGGCGAGATTGTCATGAACGTCATCTATTTTCTTGGCTTCAAACTTTTACTGGATGGGAAGTCAATGATGGTACAATCTTGAAAACCTCTAAATATAATCATTGCAGCGAAACTCATGAGTATCGGAACTCAATGGTAGTTTTAACCTCTTAATGGTTTGTGATTGGTTGAATTTCTGTGTTTCGTTTAACTTCAATCCCTCTCACTATTCAGAATCTAGTAGTGCGCAAACTAGTTGCACTAAACCATCAGCTGAGAACGACAAGTTATTTAAATCCTTCGCTTTGTGAAGCAGCAAATCCGTTCAAGATATAACGAAGTCTTCACAAAACATCCCACGGGAGTTGACTCTAGGTTATTGAGTGTGATTATTTAATTCTATCTCATGTTTACTGTGATATTTAGTTGATATAATTATTTTTATGGGGGTAGTTTATAAATTAATAACTTGCGTGATATTATACAATATCTGATCACTAAATAATATTTTATAACGATTTATAGCTTGTTTCACAAATGTATATATTATTCTTAGTACATTTCACATTTGTTAAATAGCAGCTTGTTGCTGGCCAAGTTTACAAAAATCATCGGTGGGATCCCAAGCGACACTGAAATTATTACAGTACTAAAAAAATACCCAATTTGAAAAAAAAATACGCTGTTGTATGCCTAACGGTCACGGAGAAAATTTAAAAAAGTGTAATTTAAAGGGTAAAAAATGGGAAAAACCCATTTTCACCCTATAAAACCCCCCATAAACCACTGTTCCCATGGTCCGATTATGCTGGTTCGCGAACTCGTTCGAATAAACGTAGGTTTACACGTTTGTACCAAATTTCATCAAAATTGGATCATTTTTGCTCAAGTTATCGCGCTAACGGACACATACACAGTATAAATATAAATATATATACATATAAATATCTATATATATATATATATATATACATATATATATATATATATAGAAATATATATTAAAAATCAAAAACATTTAACAAAGTACCCTTTTAGTAATTATTTTATTTTTCGTGACGACATGTTTCGGAGACTAAGTCCATTATCAAGTCATTTTTACCATAACCCATGGTTATAAAAAAACCAGGGTTATGGTAAAAATTACTTGATAATGGACTTAAGTCTCCAAAACATGTCGTCATGAAAAATAAAATAATTACTAAAAGGGTACTTTGTTAAATATGTTTTTGATTATTATTATATTAGTAGCCCTAAACATGCAAGAAAATAATATATATATTTATGGTGTTTTTGGTCTCTGGGGACCTCAAAACGAAAAAGTAAATCGGTCCCGGGTCTAGGTCTTACCATGAGACCTACGGTAATAGCTTATTCCCTATATAGGAAATTCGCTAAAAGAATTAACAACAACCACATTTCCTATGCAAGCTGATTATAAAGAAAACCAATAACCTAAAAATCGGCTATAAACATGCATATAATTTAACCAATAAATTTAAAAGCAGATTAGACCTTTACTGCAAACGCTTGACACGATATCGATAATCCATAAAGTGTAAAATGATGTTAGGCAAGAAATTCGTTTTCACCTCACCCGTATATAAATAACCTTTATAAAGATTAAACTAGTCTGATTATCCATTATTAATATTTCATTATTTATTCACTAGGCCACTAGGCTAAGTGTTATATTTTTGTTCCAATCATAAAACTCAGAAAATTTACAACATAAAATTTTTGATAGGCTTATCATTTTATAACCATGAATTCCATAACGTGATACGTAGGTTAAAAGCGGAAAGGGATAAATACGTCTTTATTTTTTTCTTTTAAAAATCTTACTACAGTACGATGTAAGAATACTATATAACTTTATGGAACCGATTATTTATCAAATAACTATTTGAAGTATTTCGCCTATTTGAACCAAGCAATTACATGCTTGGAAGAGGAATAGAAACAGGACGAGAGTCAGTAACTGACGTCACAATCTAATCAACCGTCACATGTGTAGATCACGTGATCACATCAGGTACATGATTGTGTATTGTTAGCTGTGATCTGTCAGTCATACGTGAACGTTCAGTGTCCAACTATATGATTGATACCAGCAGGACGAGAGTCAGTAACTGACGTCACAATCTAATCAACCGTCACATGCGTAGATCACGTGATCACATCAGGTACATGATTGTGTATTGTTAGCTGTGATCTGTCAGTCATACGTGGACGTTCAGTGTCCAACTATATTATTGATACCAGCAGGACGAGAGTCAGTAACTGACGTCACAATCTAATCAACCGTCACATGTGTAGATCACGTGATCACATCAGGTACATGATTGTGTATTGTTAGCTGTGATCTGTCATTCATACGTGGACGTTCAGTGTCCAACTATATTATTGATACCAGCAGGACGAGAGTCAGTAACTGACGTCACAATCTAATCAACCGTCACATGTGTAGATCACGTGATCACATCAGGTACATGATTATGTATTGTTAGCTGTGATCTGTCAGTCATACGTGAACGTTCAGTGTCCAACTATATGATTGATACCAGCAGGACGAGAGTCAGTAACTGACGTCACAATCTAATCAAACGTCACATGTGTAGATCACGTGATCACATCAGGTACATGATTGTGTATTGTTAGCTGTGATCTGTCAGTCATACGTGGACGTTCAGTGTCCAACTATATTATTGATACCAGCAGGGCGAGAGTCAGTAACTGACGTCACAATCTAATCAACCGTCACATGTGGAGATCACGTGATCACATCAGGTACATGATTATGTATTGTTAGCTGTGATCTGTCAGTCATACGTGGACGTTCAGTGTCCAACTATATTATTGATACCAGCAGGGCGAGAGTCAGTAACTGACGTCACAATCTAATCAACCGTCACATGTGTAGATCACGTGATCACATCAGGTACATGATTGTGTATTGTTAGCTGTGAT